GTTAGGCCCTGGAGACAAAACTTTCCCTCATGGGGTTTTTGGTCTATTGTCCTCTTCTTCACCCTGATGGGAACCTTTGTGAGTTTATAAAGCTGCTTTACAGACTGCTGTCTTAAAGAGTCTGTTACACCTTTACCACTTTAGGTGATATTATAAAGCATACTAATGAAACTGTTTTAATGTTCTCAGAAAAAAAAATAGTCAACATAGGTAGTGGTATCCACCTATAACAATTATTTTAGAAACGTTGATGTTATTGTCTTTATTGTGTGCAGATCTGTCCGGTGTTGCTTAGATGTATAACTGAATGCCCCCTTATTATTTTTTTTTTAAAGATTTATTTGTGCATACAGAACTGGGGTACAGGCCAGAGACTCAGGGGTGGCTAAAGACTTCACCAGAGACAGAGCGGGGAGCAAAGCAGGCAGATCGACGAAGTACACTGCTGAGGGGAGCAGAGGGCGGGTCAGGAGAGGTTCACCACACCATGTGGTCACACACCCCCCTCTCCCAGGCAGGCGAGAATCGAACTCATGCGGAAGCGGTTTCAGCCTCTTAGTGCATTGTTTGTTTTAACCCGCTGTGCCACCAGGGAGGGCCTGCCCTCTTATTTTTAAAAATACATAGCACTGATATAAATTGTTGACGGAAAAGCTTTTTTATACCATGTCAACTATTAATAAAAATGTTTACATAAATTATTAGTTTTTGTCTTCTGCTTTCGCTTTTACTTAAGATTTTTGAATAGCATGCAATTAAATCAGAGTTTTTGTTTTTACTGAAGATTTTTGAATAGCATGCAATTAAATCAGAGTTTTTGTTTTTACTGAAGATTTTTGAATAGCATGCAATTAAATCAGACTTTTATGTTTCACACCCTGGCATCTTTGGGGGAGTTTATTCTGTAAGAAAATAACTTTTTGACATCACAACAGCAATGAGTATAGAACATTGAGAAACTGGTAGCAACAATTTACTCAGTAGGGAAGCTCAAGACAAATTTAAAGAAAAAGAGGTCAAATTACAATTCTCATTTTTTAAGCATTGACACCTTTAATCCTTAAAAATTAACAAACATGGAATTTGAAATTTTACACCATTATGAAACAGATTCACTGAAACTACTCAGTCTTTTCTATCATGTTCCTAGTATTCTTTTTAAGGAATAGAACAGTGAAGTCAGTGCATACATGTGGAGTCCTTTGCTTGAGAAAGAGGTCCAAGATCAATCTCCACAGGAAGGGCAGTTCTCTCCACTAGGTTCTATGAGTTTCTTGTGTTCCAACAACTCTATAACCAAGATTAGTCATCTGGACTTCCTTCTAGAGAGACTGGAGCTTCACAGCTGTGTTATAGCTTGAAGATTTTTAAGTCCAGCTCCTTTTTATTTTCTTGATGTATTCACCATATTCCACATTAAATAACACAGTTCTTTCCCATTCAAAGTGAGACATCTTTAGTACTCTGTTAGCTAAAACCTTTTTCCAGGCTCATCTCTTATTACTTGGGGTTTCTAACCTCAAAAGGCCTTTGATCACCAGAGTTTCTTCCTAATCTCGCCTCTAAATTTCCATCCATGCTCATTCTCTTTCTTGTATTTTGCTTAAGGCAAGCAACTATATCTAATAGGCACTATCATTCTGCCTCCAACTACTTCCCACAAACTAAAGTCTGACTGGTGTCATGGTTTACCTTCCACTTCTCACAGGGAACGGCTTTACTAAGTAATTTACCAAGGCATACCAGGGCTCTCCAGCTAACCAGTTTGCTAATTTCATTCTTGGGTCTGTTCCCCTACTACTAATCATATACAACATAGTTGCTTGACTACTAATTCTATACAAAATACTTGAAATTTGAGGCCTCCTTGGTAGCACAAGGGTTTAAGTCTCCATATCCACACTATGAAGCTATCCGGCAGCCTAACAAGTTTGACTCCTAGTCAGGGAAGTAACCCACAAGGTGTGGCAGACCTCTCCTGACCCTCCCACTGCTCCCCTCAGCAGTGTATTTCAGTAGATCTGCCTGTTATGCTCCCCACTCTGTCTCAGGTATATCCTCTTAGCCCCTGCACCTCTGGCCTATACGACAGTTCTTGTATGTATAAATAATTTTTTTTTTTTTTTAATTATGGCAGCACCACAATTTTGCTTAACTTCCAAGTGTTACGACCTAGGATGTGCCTAAGTGGCATACTGATTGAGACAATGCAGACCCAATGTTTAAAATTATCTCCCTAAAAACGGGAACTCTCTGGAGGAATGAGAGGTGGGTTATATCCCTGGTGTCTTATCACCTAAGGCTAAGATTTAGGTTTCCTTTTGGTAAATATATATGCATGAATCCAGGAAAAAATCTTTTCTTCTTTAAACTGCAAAGTTCTTTGTTCTGTTTTGCCCTTCTAAATCTCTTGCCTCCTAGAGATTATGTAATTTCATTGGAATGTCTAGAGGAGAGTTCATGTTCCCACTCCCCCAACCCCAGTGCACAGGTCATTAATTTGCTCTCTCGCTAATCTTGTTGTCAATGTGATCATTTTTCCATCCTATGGATGACTAAGATTAGTTGCTTTGCCAAAAGCACCAAGGTCTACATTCACATGGTAATCACTGCCATTGCCCAAATTTGCCTAGCCTTCCCCTTTATTGGCACATAGCAGGATTGCACTTCCATGCCATTTTTAAAGATAGGCCTGACCATTTTACCAGGTTTGATCTTTGCACTGTAAGTAGAAGTGATTTACCACATATACATAGAAACATCACTTAGCATGTTCTTTCCCACTTTGTGGTGAGCAGAGAAGTAGAAGTCCAAGATTAAGTTTTATCACCTTAACTCCCTGATTGGCTATGATAAGCATATTCTTGAGGGAGTCTCATAAATAAGGAATTCTGTTATGCTAGACTTTGATGGCATTTGTTATTGGAGTATACCTAATTTTGTTAACAAGAGATGGCAAGTGTTAAACAAGCTCTAAATTTCAGAGCTTAACATAATAGATTTTTCTTTCTCCTTTACTTGACATTTCAGTGTCGTATTTGGCAGTCAGTCTTCTATGCGATGAGTCAGCCTCTTCCATTTGTGGTCCACCATTCTCTCTTGGGTATTTTTAATCTGCCTGGAAAGTGAAGAGGAAAGCCTTCATATTTTATAAATAATTTCTGTCTGCAAGATAGGGTGGAAAACTTAATCTTACTGTGTCTCAGGAATATGAAACAGGAATTCTGCATCTTCATTTTACTCTGGGCCCCACCAACTACATAGCTGGTCCTAGTGTGTCATACCACCAGGAGGGGTAGCTAGAAGCTTTAACTGCATATGGAATGTGGAAGAGTTCACTCTCACTGAAGGTTTGCAAATTCTTTGGTTATTTACCCTATTGAGAAAACAATGTGTGTTTTTCTTTTCTGCACGTTTGTGCTCATGACCATTACAGTGCCAGATATACTCATTGTCTCGGAAGAATCAGAACCATAAAATCCGAAGTGAAAAACAAACAAAAAACACAACAAACAATAAGTGGTTTAGGTTTTTACGTTAAAAATAAGCTTTTGAGGCCCTCCCTGGTGGCGCAGCGGGTTAAAGCATAGCACTGAGAATCTAAAGCCGTTTTAGCATGAGTTCGATCCCTGCCTGCCCC